GATGGATGGATAGATAGATCAATGGATGGATGGATGGATAGATAGATCAATGGATGGATGGATGGATAGATAGATCAATGGATGGATGGATGGATAGATAGATGGATGGATGGATGGATAGATAAATCAATGGATGGATGGAGGGATAGATAAATCAATGGATGGATGGATGGATAGATAAATCAATGGATGGATGGAGGGATAGATAAATCAATGGATGGATGGATAGATAAATCAATAGATGGATGGATGGATAGATAGATAGATGGATGGATAGATCAATGGATGGATGGATGGATAGATAGATAGATAGATAGATAGATGGATGGATAGATAGATAGTTGATGGATGGATAGATAGATAGATCAATGGATAGATAGATAGATGGATGGATGGATAGATAGATCAATGGATAGATAGATCGATGGTTAGATAAATCAATAGATAGATGGATGGATGGATGGCTGGATAGTTAGATCAATGGATGGATGGATGGATGGATAGATCAATGGATGGATGGATGGATAGATAGATCAATGGATGGATGGATGGATAGATAGATCAATGGATGGATGGATGGATAGATAGATGAATGGATGGATGGATAGATAAATCAATGGATGGATGGATGGATGGATAGATAAATCAATGGATGGATGGGTGGATAGATAAATCAATGGATAGATGGATGGATGGATATATAAATCAATGGATAGATGGATGGATGGATAGATAAATCAATGGATAGATGGATGGATGGATAGATCAATGGATAGATGGATGGATGGATGGATGGATGGATAGATCAATGGATGGATGGATGGATGGATGGATGGATAGATAGATCAATGGATGGATGGATGGATAGATAGATCAATGGATGGATGGATAGATAAATCAATAGATAGATGGATGGATAGATAAATCAATGGATAGATGGATGGATGGGTGGATAGATAGATCAATGGATGGATGGATGGATAGATAGATCAATGGATGGATGGATGGATAGATAGATCAATGGATGGATGGATGGATAAATCAATAGATAGATGGATGGATGGATGGATAGATCGATCAATAGATAGATGGATGGATAGATAAATCAATAGATAGAATGATGGATGGATAGACAGATCAATAGATAGATGGATGGATAGATAGATCAATGGATGGATGGATGGATAGATAGATAGATAGATAGATGGATGGATGGATGGATGGATGGATGGATAGATCAATGGATAGATAGATAGATGGATGGATAGATAGATAGATCGATGGATGGATGGATAGATAGATAGATAGATGGATGGATAGATAGATCAATGGATGGATGGATAGATAAATCAATAGATAGATGGATGGATGGATGGATAGATAGATCAATGGATGGATGGATGGATAGATAGATCAATGGATGGATGGATGGATAGATAGATCAATGGATGGATGGATTTTTTTAGAAATTATATACTAGGCCACTTGAAATGTGAAGCATTTAGAAGCATTTATCTTTATTGATTTAGTTTCTGTGAACAATCAATCTCTTCCATCTCTTTAGATAAAATATTAATACTCTAAATGTGCTGTTGTTATAGTATTTAACACTAGTTTACACTAGTAACATCATTCTCAAGCTGGACTGTTAAGAAGAGGGAAACTAGTATTTATTTATTTTTTTTCCCAAAATATACTTTTGAACTTCTCTCTATGGATCACACTGTGTATTTCATCGTTCAATCTCTTGTAGTCATACAAAAAAATCTCTTGTAGTCATGGAAACGATGTTACGCTTCCCTGCTGACTCGCGCAGAAATGGCGAGTAAATCAGACGCGCGCTGTGATTGGCTGCCGCTCTCTCACCATACACCGTCACTCATTCACACCATTGAACCACTATGCGCACCTCGCTCGCGACCCTCCTTTCTCGACCGCTCATTGGCTGAGGACTTCAAGGGGCGGGAAAACAAGAGCTTCAGAACAGCATCTGTGTTTTGATTGGCTGCGTGGAAAGCGCTCAAGCAACAGAAGCGCGCACTGCACAGGTTATGTATCGTCCGTTTAGCGAGTATAAATAGTGTGTCTTCAACAGCGCGTTCAACAAGCGACTGTCACCTAAAGAACTGAACTCAGCTGTATAGGTAAGTCCAGTCTAACACGATATGTGTCGAGCAAGAACTTATCTAAATTACTGTTATTAGAAAAGTTTTACATTACATGTTTAATGCTAGAATGACTGATCTCAATAGACTTAACCTCAACAACAGTCCAGTAATCTTGGAAGATTAAAGATAATGTAGGTAGCATGTATTTGAAACGCTCTTTTATTAATAATTATTATTAGTTGGCCTATTGTTTTAGTTAAATAAAATATCTGTGCAAAAGTAAAAAAAAAAAAAATCGCCATCAATTTAATATGAAAGATTACACATTAAGATTAAACGCGGTCAGAAAAAATAAAATAAATTAAAAATTAACTGATTGTGCATCTGAAGTCAGACTAGTGACTACTAATGTTAAATACTAACATAGCAAAAACACGTTACTTGAATATATTTTAAATAATACTAAGCGTACATTGATTTGTAAATTTTTATGGTAAACATACATTTTTGGTTATTACTTTTTCCACATCATCTAAAAATCAATTCGCGTTTAATAAAATGTTAAACTAGGGCACTAAATACAATTATTTATTAGTTAAAACCGCTTTAGTCATACATTATTCAGATTAATATGAACGCGTCCCGAATATTAGGATTAGTAATAGTGCTGTCCACATTGAAAGTTCGTGCTTACTACATACTGAGATGTACGGAGTTTTAAGTACGTAGTAGGCGTCACGCGCTCCTGCGTAAGCGGAAGGTCCGTCTCATCTACTGCTCGACTGCAGCAAACACCTGACCTTATGAGCTCTCCAGACGCGACAGCTATAGCAACTAATACATGATTGTAAGGTAAGAAGGAGATGTGTATCTGAAGGGACTGGTATATGTGGGTGCTAAGTGTGCTGTTAGCGGTCTGCTAGTGACACATGTAATGCTAGGCGCGGTCATCAGTCACTCCTCTCCACTGTTATTACAACACTACAGCCTATGAGATATTCATTCATTTTGCGTTTGTTAGTTATTAATAAACTAAAAAGGAATCATTATTATTAAGCGAGCCATCAGAGAGCTGTTTCCACAAGCTGTTAGCAACACGACAAACCAGAACGCTTCATTTATAGCACGTTATATTCGTAAACACATGTATAGTCCGTGTAATTATGCTATGATGGGATGATTAAGAGGCAAAGATTGTTACAGAAGAATGATTAGTCAAACAAGAACAACAGTTTCTTTTGGTTTAGCCTAATTCATATTGACTAAAGTCAACCAGTTGACAGAAACATTAGCTGTTTATAACCTGCATGCTATGTCTGTAAGCCTCTTTAAAGTTTGTCCCAAGATCGCATAATGCTTAAAAATGCGTTTGTTTCTGGTTATTTCTAGTGAACTCTCTTTTTTCTGTGTGTAAATAAACGCCTACCAGTAGTGTTTACTTGTTTTGTTCCACATCGAGCGGTCAAGTGGCTGCTCTGTGGAGTCATATCTATGTGGGTTAAAGGTCATGTCCTTCCCCGGATGATGGAGGGTTAATCTCATTAGAGGAGAGCAGAGCTGGCTTTGCCACGTGACTCTCACTTCCCAATGGCTGTGACTGCACTCTTCCTCATAATTTGTCGTTATGATGTTGCACAGATGCGTTTTTATCTGCTTGGTCAATTTTCTACATCTCATTTGCCATAGTGTTTATTTATACACCACCAGTCAAAAGTTTGGAATAATTAGTTTTTTTTTAAAGGTGTAAAAGTCTCTATGCTCACCAAGGCTGCATTTATTTGATTAAAAATACAGTAAAAATGTGAAATATTACTATAATCTAAAATAACTGTTTTCTATGTGAATATATGTTAAACTGTAATTTATTTCTGTGATGCGCAGCTGAATTTTCAGCATCATTACTGCAGTCTTCAGTGTCACATGATCTTCAGAAATCATTGTAATATGCTGATTTGCTGCTCAAGAAATATTTTTGATTATTATCAATGTTGAAAACGGTTGTGCTTTTTGTAGAAACCATGATACACTACCGTTCAAAAGTATGGAGTAAAAACATTTTTAATAAATTAAATTGATCAAATGTAACGATAAAGACATTTGTGACCCTGGAGCACAAAATCAGTCATAAGGGTCAATTTTTTTAAATTGAGATTTATGCATCATCTGAAAGCAGAATAAATAAGCTTTCCATTGATGTATGGTTTGTTAGGACAGGACAATATTTGGCCGAGATACAACTATTTGAAAATCTGGAATCTGAGGGTGCAAAAAAATCTAAATATTGAGAAAATCGTCTTTAAAGTTGTCCAAATGAAGTTCTTAGCAATGCATATTA